TTCTTTAATTTCAGAAAAGGCTTACTTCGAACAATGTGGGTAATTATTACGTGATTATGAAAGAGCAAGCACCATAGTATTGATTTCAATTCTTATGATTTTTTAAAAGAAAATTTATCAATATCTTCCTTCTCATTAAATATTCATGATTACTTTCATATAGAGGAGCTTCTAAATTTGGTTAAATTCCAGATTATAATTGTAAAAATCGAGCCCATCTGAATAAAATCATTACACACTTGGCATCATGCAATTGAATTCATTTCACAAAGAGAACATTATTGCAAGCAGGAATCCCATTTCTCATCAAGTAATATTGTGTTACTTAATAATCCGTGAAGGCATAGGATTGGGTCAAAGAAAGGGTTTGAACTCTTTTTCGCTTTAAAGAAAATTACTTGACAAATTGGTTCCCACTCAGCCTACCATGGATTGGTGGCTGAGCAATCCTCAATAAAAGTTGTCAGATGGGGCGCAGATACTCAATCCCATTTGTACAACCAATAATGCTGCACCTAATTTTATTCAAAAAGGAAAAATCGGGTCTTATCTTTTTCTTTTTCCCAAAATAAAAATTTTTTAAAAGTTAAAAATGTCATATAATAAATTATTATCATTATTATCACAAGAAAGACAGGAATTTGTACGTAAAATTTATAATGAAATGTATGATGATTCTCTGGGTAATTCTAATAGAGAAAGTCAAAAAGATTATTTTTTTTCATTAGTTGAGAAAAATGAGGTGCTTTCTGAAAATGAAAAAGAATTTTGTAAAGAAAAGTTTATTTATCAATTTGAATTAGAAAGTGCAAGAAGTAAATTGGGCAAACCAAAAAAATGTAACAAGTGTAGATTGATAAGATACTCTGATAGATTCTGTGAAGGTTGTATTAGTTTACAATTACAGAGTCTTTTTAATAATTGGACATCTGGGAATGGCATAGTTGATAACTTTATTAAACAATGCCAAATGAAATCATCTTTGCCAGGCTATATTTTAGAATGGATACCTTTTGAGCAATTTGAAGACATAACAAAATT